TTTTTTTTTTTTTTTTTTTTTTTTTTTGGAATGAAAAATATCTCACCGCAAATCATTCCCTGTGAATTTTAACGTAAATATCTTGTCTAAGAATGTTTTTTGAAGAATAACAATCGTCAACAAAGTAACAATAATTTTTCTTTGTTCTTTGAACACAAAAAAAAAATCCATCTTTGAAAAGTTAGGAATGTTAGGAAAGAAGAGGGAAGTAAATGGTAGAACTTAATGATCCATTCTGAATGATTCTGAACTTGGAAAATGGAAAACTACCATGTAGCGAGTATACTGAATTTACGTAAGAGAGAAGACTGTGGGAAATAATGGCCAAAGATTAGATATTGTTTTAAAAATAATTTCTAAAGCCAATTCTAATCACTGAACTTCTTTCAAAATTAATCTATCACTTCTACCTTTATCGGTTCTATATATCAGATTCTAAATATCAAAAATAAACGTAAATAGACAATAAAAAAAACATATCTATAGATACAAGTATCTAACTCTTGTTCTTAATTCGATATCAAGAAAATTGTTTTCCAAAGGAATTTCAACAATTCCACTATCGTTCCACTCTGTTCTGTTATGCAATTTATAGACATCACGATAGAAAGCAGAATTTTCTAGATCACGACTGTTCTCTATCGATGTACACTCAAAATTATGACGATGAACAAATCGCTCCTTGGTACCGGAATTATTCCGTCTCGCAAGTCGTATGGGAATTATGTTGCAATTCGTCTCGCGAGTAGCATTGTCTTTAGATTAATTTTTTTTTAGATGTGAAAAATCATGAATCAGCCAGTAGTTTTACAAGTGGCTAGTTCTTTGAAGGAAAAGAAGCATATCGTAAATGTAGTTTGACGTTAAATTAAAAAGAAAATGACTTTTAATTGAAAATGTCTCCAAAGGCTGATTATTTTCTCTTTAATATTGAAATGATTTATGGTATTATAGGAATGGTATTATAATTCAAAGAATAAAACTGATGTTCTTAATAACTTAACAATATTGTAGTAATTTGAAATTTTGATTAAAAAGGCGTTATTCCTGCGGTAATATATATAAAAATAATAGTGTAAAACATTTTTTCATTAGGAGAATCAATATTTTTATCATAATAATATGGAATAATAAATAGTATGACTGAATCAAATATCTTTTTAGAAGAATTGTTAGTATAAATTAATGAAATAAATTATTCTTTTCTTAACCGGAAGTATTAGGCTCTTGTTACTTCTGGAAATCGTTTGATTTACAATAAAAAAAATTATTTTTATCAATTTCACGACGAAATCAGAGTTTCTGATTTGCTTGAAATTTTCAATTTAGTTTGAATCTTTGAATTTCCTAATTTCTTCATGCATTTTTAATTGGATTTTTATTTCCACTGCTTTCGCGGCGATGTGCGACGGGGACTTTTTTTTCATGTATTTCAATTTTTTAGAAAAACTGCATGCGTCAATCTCTCTGATAAACACGAGCTACAAATATCGATCTGCAGCGTTATTCTACGATAAATCGCAAATTTGTTTGCTATCGCGAGAAAGTATTCTATCTTACAAAAGCTTATTCTGCGCGAACAGTAATTAGACTTTGAACGGAAATTTCGATCTTTATTTGTGATAAAATAAAGTTTATTTACAATTAACTAGAATTATCGAAGATATTGATATACTTTACGAGAGAAAGAATTTACTCGAACTATTTAGATAATATTTGAATTTTATGAATTTCGTGAATTTCACAGATCTTTTCTTATTAGAAGTTTGATGTGTCATTTTTAGAAACATTTTCATGCTTCGTAAATCATTATCAAAAACAACTTTTAATTGCACAGTTACATTTTCTCAATTTCATTCATTCAATATGTACCGTTATAGTAATTGTATAAATAAATTTTTGCATTTCATATGTGTAAAAATACCATGATATTAAAAAAATATATATATACACTAAATAGTACATTCAATATCATAATATTTTGAATTTTCAGTGATTAACGTAACATTAATAACTCGTTTAATATTAACATCATATTAATATAACGCAATAGAGTACTTGCTTATAACTAATAAATACTAACAGAGCCTTAATTATGAACTGGAAAATAAGCTTATTGTATATGCTCTATCCAAAGAAACGCATTGAAGCCGATAATTGAAACAATGAAATTGCTCATCATCTTTCGGAAAGGATAATTTTTAAAATCGCCCCATACAAAACGAGTAATACCGAAAACTATGCCACTGTGCAATTTTCTAGATCATTTGGCAAGATCCATTGGTTCAGTCACTCGGTCGCTAAAGAAATATTCTGCCAAGACACCATCAGAACGAGTACACCAACGCTATCATCGAGCAAATTTTATTTATCATCAATTTCATAAGATACAATAAAAAACGTCCGCAACGATTGGTCAAGTCACGTCGCAAGACACGTGTGAATTTATCATTACGACATTCACGGTCAAGAACATAATCTATTGAATTTCTCTGTGTTAACCTCATCTACGTCTCGCTTTGACAATGAAAAATAACTCCTGTGGGATGGCTACTACAGTGAAATAAATATATCGATCGTAACGTGTATTACCGCTTTCTATTCCTAGCTTTCTGTGATAAAATCACACTTCACAGTGACGAATAGGAGAAATGAACGAATCTTGATTATCGTAGAAAAAACTTGTACCGAGCAAGTTTTATTGATTCAAAGTCCAGAAATGAACGTATGAGGTACTAACTAACATTACGTAACGTTATACAAAAATTTACGTTATCACGTTAGAGAATTTATTCCTCTCGGATGATGACATTCGTCTGCAATCAGGTCATTCTGGTAACCCATAGCGTCATAGTTAATTACATTTCGTGGCCATTCCTAATGATCGTTTCCATCAATTTCCCGTATAATTAACCGTGATGTACTACGTTCTAATAAAAACTCAAACAATTCATTAAACTACTACGATGACGAGGATAAAAGAATTTATAAATTTAATTATCAATAAATCAATAACTTATGTTTACGAACATTCCAAGCACTATTTCTTTAACTTCCACATTTTGTGATTAAAGCAAAATATGACGAATAATCTGGATTGTAGATATTTATGCAAATTTCCTGATTTGTCTTGCAAGTATCGTAAAGAACACTTCACGGTCTTATTAATTATTAATCAGTTGATTGTTAGTTATTATTATCTATTAACTAACTATTTACTATTTATTATTAATCTTAAAGACTTCTCTTTTTTACGTCTCAAATTTTAATGTATGGAGTAAACTCTCAATTTCAAATTTTAATATA